AGGAGAGCGAACCAAAGAGGGCATGTCCAGAAGCAGAGCTAGTCCCACCGGCCCAAACGCTCTCAGGTCCAGAACAGAGAGGAGTCTGGGAAGGGCGTGACCACAGAGGATGTCACTCAGGTAACCGCCTCCTCAGCCTTCCAGAAGAACAGGGTCCTGCAGACACAGAGCAGAGTGAAAGATGGAGAGGGAGAAGGAGAGGAAACAGGATGAACCAAGCTCAAACCACGAAAGACAGATCAGACAGAAGAGAGGGAGAAACGTATGGACGAAGAGATGGAGAGTAGGGAGGAGAAATGGATATGGAGGACATCGGAGCGATGGAAGAGCATCTAGAAGAATGGATGAAAAACAGACAACAGAACTCTACAACCCAGCAATCCAAATAGCAGAGTGGAAGGTCCCAGTTCAGATGCATTCTGGGAAAGTAAAGCCTCCAGTCTCCCATCCTTCACATTCCATCCGACAGGTGGACATCGAAGGGTCAACAGGAAGCTGGGAGGAAGAGGAAGTGGATGTGTTTAGGGGCTTTAGCCCCTCCCCTGTCCCTCCTATCATACTGTCTGGCTACTGGGGGAGGGGCTTAGGTCTGAGGAGGAGGAAGAGAGCAATGTCATTGGAGGAGAGTTGGACCACGCCCCTTCTATCGGATCTCTGTCATCTCTGCTCAGACTGAGGTGAATGCATACACATGGTAACAGTCAGATTATCACACAACTCTAATCAGAGTTTTTAAAAACTTCTACACTAACTACAGTATAACCATACCCGTCCTATCCCTGTTCCCCTACAGAGTGACCAACCTGCTTCCCCCCCCACCCCTGTGGGAGACTGGGGTATGGACAAACGGCTGTGTGTGGACCGTCTGCAAGTACAAACTCAGAGGGCTGCCACATAGACAGCCATAGCAAAACAACAAGGAATGTACAGATTTCTGCTTGATGGAGAAGAAGGAATGTTTACGTAAAGGGGGTTTGTGAAAGTTGGGTGGTTGAGTTCATCCAAGTTACCAATTGTTAAACAAAAGAGGACCAATGTATGTTAAAAATGTATTTGATACGTTGTTGTTATTTCTACCTCACCCCGCTTATGGGGCTCTGTGCTTGAGTTCTAGTTTTCAGCACATAGATTGTCAGTTTTGAATGTGTGTGTTTTATACTCAGTGTGTCAGTTGGTCTGATTGTTTGTCCACATCTTACTGCCCAGACCTTTTTAACACATTGTCGTGTTTAAGTTTTCAATGACGCGTGTAGAAAAACACAAGCTAATAGCCTCTTGTGGAGAGGAGTTTGGGTTCAATCATATAGCAAATATTTTTTTGTGAGTTGCCACCAAATCAGGTTTTCCACTGCTGTTAGTTTAGTTTCACAGGAATTGAGGGCTCTCGTTTGTTGAGTGTCAATCACAGGCCTACCAGCATCCGATTCTGCTTCTGACTGTTCTAGAATGAAATCACGTCATGGTTCTTGTTGTCGTCATGGTTCTTGTTGTCGTCATGTTGTTTCTCATTACTGTTCTACCCAGCAGTTTGACTGTTTTCAGTTTTATAACCAGATTACGAGATTAAAGATGTTCTTAATACCTGTGTGTCCTTGTGTGAATCTATTAAGTGCAGGCTAAATAGCTCAGATGTCTATCATGGTGTTGTAGTGTGTTTAAGTGGTCAGCAGGTGGTGACAGTGATCTCTGAGTCGATATAAGGGTATTCATTTTTGGCGTTTTTCAGTTACACCTATGTTTATTAGAGGGTTGACATTGCAGTATGCAAGCCCTTGGCTTATTATTATGTTAGAACCAAATAGCACATCTTGCGATGCTTATTATGCTGATTATTACAAAGTTGGCTCCCGTTTGGAATTGATAATAGATTTCCTACACCAGGGGTCTCCAATAGGAGATACCAGTAGCTCGCAGCCCACCTGAAAGTACATGCAATTTTCAGGTGTTCCACCATAAACTGTCATAAACAAATCTCACAAGTATCAAGACACCCCAAGCTCCCAGCTGCAATCTAATCAACGTAACTTTGACATTATCCCACCCCTGGTTAGCCACTATTGGGTTAAAAAGCCAAACCTGACACAATATCTGCCAATTGATTTCCGGCAATATTGCCTGTCTGTCTATGTGGTGCGCGCGTTTGTCTATCACTCCGTGTGTAGCCAGTTGACAGAAATAAAGTACCTTCCCCAAAACCTTCTCAATTAAATGTTTACTGCAAAGTAGGCTGACCTGGCAGAAGTATATCATGAGTAAGTATATCATTTGTATCTATTATTTGCTAACTTTGCCATGAAGTGAGCAGCAGCAGTACAGAACCATCGCTAGATCAGCACATTAGACAGCACATTCCTCACTTTCCAGATTCGCGACTAGAAGCTCAGTTAAAGGGGAATTACACAAAAACATCTACATTTGTTAGTTTTCTTCCAGATGTGATTGAAGCATTTACAGTTGAAGTCGGAAGTTTACATACACTTAGGTTGGAGTCATTCAAACTCGTTGTTCAACCACTCCACAAATTTCTTGTTAACAAACTATAGTTTTGGCAAGTCGGTTAGGAAGTACTTTGTGCATGACACAAGTAATTTTTCCAACAATTGTTTACAGACAGATATTTCACTTATAATTCACTGTATCACAATTCCAGTGGGTCAGAAGTTTACATACGCTAAGTTGACTGTGCCTTTAAACAGCTTTGAAAATTCCAGAAAATTATGTCATGGCTTTAGAAGCTTCTGATAGGCTAATTGACATCATTTGAGTCAATTGGAGGTGTACCTGTGGAAGTATTTCAAGGCCTACCTTCAAACTCAGTGCCTCTTTGCTTGACATCATGGGAAAATCAAAAGAAATCAGTCAACCTCCGCAAGTCTCCACAGAAATCAGTGGTAGACTGGTTCATCCTTGGGAGCAATTTCCAAATGCCTGAAGGTACCATGTTCATCTGTACAAACAATAGTACGCAAGTATAAACACTATGGGACCACACAGCTGTCATACCGCTCAGGAAGGAGACGCGTTCTGTGTCCTAGAGATTAACGTACTTTGGTGCGAAAAGTGCAAATCAATCCCAGAACAACAGCAAAGGACCTTGTGAAGATGCTGGAGGAAACAGGTACAAAAGTATCTATATCCATAGTAAAACGAGTCCTGTATCGACATAACCTGAAAGTCCGCTCAGCAAGGAAGAAGCCACTGCTCCAAAACCGCCATAAAAAAGCCAGACTACGGTTTGCAACTGCACATGGGGACAAAGATCGTACTTTTTGGAGAAATGCCCTCTGGTCTGATAAAACAAAAATAGAACTGTTTGGCCATAATGACCATCGTTATGTTTGGAGGAAAAAGGGGGTACTTGCAAACCGAAGAACACCATCCCAACCGTGAAGCACGGGGGTGGCAGCATCATGCTGTGGGGGTGCTTTGCTGCAGGAGGGACTGGTGCACTTCACAAAATAGATGGCATCATGAGGAAGGAACATTATGTGGATATATTGAAGCAACATCTCAAGACACAGTCAGGAAGTTAAAGCTTGGTCGCAAATGGGTCTTCCAAATGGACAATGACCCCAAGCATACTTCCAAAGTTGTGGCAAAATGTGTTAAGGACAACAAAGTCAAGGTACTGAAGTGGCCATCACAAAGCCCTGACCTCAATCCTATAGAAAATGTGTGGGCAGAACTGAAAAAGCAAGGAGGCCTACAAACCTGACTCAGTTACATCAGCTCTGTCAGGAGGAATGGGCCAAAATTCACCCAATTTATTGTGGGAAGCTTGTGGAAGGCTACCCGAAATGTTTGACCCAAGTGAAACAATTTAAAGGCAATGCTACCAAATACTAATTGAGTGTATGTAAACTTCTGACCCACTGGGAATGTGATGAAATAAATAAAAGCTGAAATAAATCATTCTCTCTACTATTATTCTGACATTTCACATTCTTAAAATAAAGTGGTGATCCTAACTGACCTAAGACAGGGAATTTGTACTAGGATTAAATGTCAGGAATTGAATTGAAAAACTGAGTTTAAATGTATTTGGCTAAGGTGTATATAAAGTTCAACTGTACATGGACTCAAAACATCCAATTTCATTGTTGTGAACAACTGTAATTTTGAGAGTGAAAAAATAAAATAACATCTACAACCAGGAAAAACAACAACTGAGAACATAATTTGGGAAAATATAGAAACGAATTTGGTAAAGAAAAATCACAATCAATTTTATAGGGCCCCCCTTAGAGTTGTTTATGAACCATTATTTTACAAGGTATGTTGACAGAAAAGACAGTGCACTACTTTCTCTTGTACACTAAGGACCCGGGGAAGAGAAGAATCTGCCTATTTGAAAGCTAGAAAAAAATGAGTAGCTCTCGAGATTTAATTTATTTTCAAAATCGCTCCCATGCTAGAAAAAGTTGGAGACCCCTGTCCTACACTCACACACAACACACACGCATAATGATAGGACAGGCCTGAGGGACTGAAGTGAACATGTGTTTATTAGGTAACCTGTGGTTCAACCTCCTACACACAACATCACATCAGAGCTGAACTACAGTGGCAGCCATTTTGAAACTGTTGTCTGAGGATGCGTTGATCTCTCCTCTGGTTCGAGCAGGGTGTGTGGCTCCCAGCTCAGCCTAGGTGACCTGGACAGGGGTTGGGGGTTCAGGTAGAACAGCGCAAGTGTGTGTGTCTGTGTGCGGGTGCTCTCACCTGGTAAAAGACACAGTGTGTGTTATATCAGTATAGGTATGTCTGTGAGTGTCAGTCATGTCAGTATGTATGTGTGTGCGTGGTCCTCTGCTTTTACAGTGTGATATAGTCTCTTATCGTACCTCGGAGCGGCTGTGTGTGTCAGTGCTACGTGGTGAGTCGGTAGTTAGGGGCGGCTGCTCTTCCAGTCAGGGTAAGGTAGGGGGGGGAGGGTATGGGGTAGAGCAGCGTCTGGGCTGGGGGTTGCTGTCCGTGGGCCTCTCAGCCTCCAGCCCCTCTTAATGCTGGATACGGCGGATAGACTGGATCTGGGGGGTCTGGCAGTGGGAGCCCCAGTTCTTCCAGTGCTGGTAGTCTCCACTGTGTCTCTCACACTCCATGATGTACTGCTGGCCCCTGTAGCCGGGGTACTGGTAGCACACAAAGCTGATGGAAAAGATAGGGGATATTAATTAACACTGAGTTTTGGTGTCTCTGGGGTGTGTATCAATCGTGTGTGCAAAGTATTAAACCACAGCTTCCACAGCTGTTTGCTCACGCATTGCATGTGTGTGTTTGTAGTGAATAATAGAGGTTAACTTACGCGCCACACTGCACGTGCATGGAGCCAACCTCGGGCATGGACCAGCCCATGGCTTGCAGGGAGGGGTAGTCGTCACACAGCTCAACACTGCGGCCCATGAAGTTCTCTCTCTCAAAGATCATCATACGACTGCTCATGTGGGACTGAGAGAGAGAGGAGTGTTACATACAAACACAAAGATGATCATATTCCCCCAAAAATGGTGTTTCTCGAGGAAGGCCCTAATAGAATGTATCTGTTTGGCAAAAAACTGCATTGACACACTTTCACTCTCTCTTTCTCTTTGTCATCTTCTCTCGCTTTCTCTCACACTTTACTCACAGCACAGTAGATGGGACGCAGGGACATGAGGCGCTCCACATGGTAGGACAGGGAGCCGCTGTAGGCATCCCAGTGAGGGTACTCTCCTCTCTCCAGGATAAACTGCTGGCCCTGGAAGTCATGGTGCTCAAAGCCCACCCAGCTAGAGGAGGGGGGGGTAGAGTTTACACATTGTACTACCGTCTTATACACACACATTGAACACATTCACTCATCCACCTTACACATACATGAACGCACACACACGTGGGGCACGTAGAGAGCTTCAAGTTCCTCTGTGTCCACATCACCAAGGACTTCATATGGTCCTATCACATCAGCACAGTCACGAAGAAGGTTCGACAGCGCCTCTTCCCACTCAGGAGGTTCAAAAGATTTGGCATGGCCCCACAGATCCTCCAGAACTTCTGCAGCTGCACCATTGAGAGCATCTTGACTGGTTGCATCACTGCTTGGTATTGCAACTGCACCGCCCTCGATTGCAAGCGCTGCAGAGGGTGGTGTGGACGGCCCAGTACATCACTGGGGCCGAGCTCCCTGCCATCCATTACCTCTATAACAGGCGGTGTCAGAGGAAGGCCCAGTCACCCAAACCATAGACTGTTCACTCTGCTACCTCACGACAAGCGGTAACGGAGCGCCAAGTCTGGGACAAAAAGGCACCTGAACAGCTTCTACCCCCAAGCCATAAGACTGCTGAACAGTTAATCAAATGGCTACCCACACTATTGTATTGATCCTTTTTTGCACCGACTCTCTTACATTGACTATGCACACTCACTGGACTCTACCCACACACTCACACTGACACTCCAACACACACACATACACACACACGCACATTGATGACACATACACACACTTTCACATTCTATAGCCTCGTTATTGTTATTTATTGTGTTACTATTTTACATTTTTATTTGCAAATGTTCTTACTTTTTAACTGCATTGTTGGGAAAAGGCTTGTAAGTAAGCATTTCATGGTAAAGTCTATACACACACACACACACACACACACACAGAGCGAGAGAGAGAGAGAACACACCTGGATTCCTCTATCCCTAACCAAATATACACACTAAACAGATGGAACAATGTGAGACTCACGCTCCACTCTCCACTCTGATGGAGCGGATGATGTCCAGACCACACTCGTGGATGTTACAGCACTCAGAGGTAAACTCCTGGCACTTGCCCTGGAAGTGCTCCTGCTCGAACACAGTCACCTACAGAGAGACGGAGGGAGGGAGAGAGGGAAGAAATGGAAGATGAGGTAGAGAAAAGGGACATTTAATGTGACAGAGCCCATCCCACTTATGCAAAGGTGTGTGCTCCTGCATGTGTCTAAATCTAAGGGTGTGTTACCTTGAAGAAAGGAGCCACACCCATTCCCGAGTTGACCAGGGGTTGCATCATTGGGGATCTAGTTGTTCTGTGCATCTTTACACCTAAAAGGCAGGGGGAAAACGTTCAGTTACACAATCTCCCCAACTCTCTTAACACTCAGTCACCTCAACACCAACAATACACACATAGAGTACTTTTTTTTTTTTTTGTATTCTATTCTATGTTATTCTGTAATCAAAGCTTCACACTGGTATTCAAGTGTACACGACTAAGTATCAATTTCACCCAAAAACCTTTCCCTTTAACATTTCTCGTATCCACTATGAACTATTTTGACAAACAGTCTTGAATGAACGACCTGTCCGCTAAACTAAATTGATACTAATAATGCCGATTAATTAATCTATGATAAAGCAACATTATTATTTATTTTTATCTAACAAGCTCGCTCCCTAGTATAGCCAATCGTATGAGACAAATAATACACAACAAATCGATATTAGTGTGACCTAGCGATTAGACAGCACATCGTTTATTGTCCATTCAAGTTAGTAGGCTTCACCCGAACAGAACAGCGTAATATGGAGACCAGGATCAGTTAAACGAGTCTATACATTATGCATTCAATCTATGCAATGTGAACTGCAGGTTAACGTGTTATTACATGGTTAGTGCTTTTTGGTGAGTTTTAAATTAATGTGCAAAGGCGTCTTGAAGACGCCCGTTATAACATATCTGACTGACTGTCCCTATAATTTGCATTAAATGCGTAACGGAGTTGGCACCTTACCTAGTTTGGCACTTATTCGTGATGAGCTCGGAAGTGGCACGCGCCTAACGCTATCTCGCGTAGAGCTTTGAGAGATCCTGGCGCTTCAGTTTTATATGGACTGACGAGAAGCGCGCCTCTTGGAGCGCGTCCATCGTGCAGGGCTTTGGTGCGCGCACAATACCTTTTTTCCCACCAGGAACACTGGACGACAGCGTGCTCCTGTTCTTGCTGGTCGTTCCATCGAAACCGCGCGACACGCCAGCTCAGCACATACTATGGAACGCCAGTCCTTGCTGTGCACAGCGATCGGGGTTTGCCCTGAATGGGAAAGGAACAATAGTGACCCGGTCAGTTCGTGCCGGTCAGCAGTAGGAGCGTGGCGGTCACAAAGACCGGGATAGAGGTGGAGAATGTGGAGATTAAAGGTGGACAGGCACCGTTTGTGTAGAGAAAATGTCAGTATACAAATATGCATATAATAGAATATGGACAGGATAGAAAAGTTTGAGTATGAGAACGTTTTTGACATATCTTCAATAGTATGGCCTCAGTCACCAAACACACACACAAACACAGGCCTGAATCATGCCACACATCCATCCTTGAGTCCCCCATCCATCCTTTAGTTATATACTGTCCATGGTATCCTGGCCCCTCAAGCAAAGAAACTTAACAAGGTAACAAAAAATTAAAGAAACACTGCACCACTCAACTTCACTCCTCATACTTCACCTAAATCATTCTAACACCCTATAGACCTTATACTCTCTTAATCAAAACCCTATAGTCTGAGTTCCAATAATGCATCAATTAAACAGTATTTATTGATTACGGCTTCAGGCCTGAGCTCCTATTCAACAGTTTCAAAACGGATGAGATGAGACTATCAGAAATGTTATTTTTGTAATGTAAGCTGGTGACTGATTATGATCATTGTCAGATGATATAGCACAATTCACATGTCCTCTCATATTGTAAATAGGGAGCCTATTCAGTAAATATCATGAACACAATGAATTAAACCAATATCCACACAAGAGCAATGTACATACAGGTCTTTGTCACTGGTTATAAAAACGTAATCAGTTTGTGTGCTTGCTTATCACAGATACTTCTGTGTTATGTCTCTAGCTCTCAGATACTGTATCTGTTTGTGGTAGACCCTATCATCATGTACAGTATTCCACTATCAACCCCCCTCCAATCCTTCTCAATGAACTATGGATCTCATTGGTCCCTGTGGCTGCACCCTCCCCTCTGGCTGTCCCTCTCTGATGATGCAGTGGTTCTATTGTCCCGTGGTTCTGACCTCAGCAGGTTTGTTTCTCTGTGTTTAATCCCCCTCCTCTGGGCGCCAGCGTATAAAAGGGCAGGGCACGCTCCGAGCCACACACACTCTCTGAGTGAGGCAGATCACACACACACAGGTAAGAGCAGCAGACACACACACACAATACACATGCTGGCGGCACCTGCATACACCGGTAAAGGGAGTAGGGGGAGACAGAAGATTGTCAACTGCTCAGCAGCATTTTCACTTTGAAATCAGTAATTAGAAGTAGCTAGTTATAATAATACGTTACATTGATATTACACATCACTATAGTAAAACATATAGACTGCATCCCCAACCCCATCCTTTCTCCAAATATCCCTCTTCCCCTAATACCCTCCATCCATTCACTCATCCTCATCTCGTCTTCCTTATTTCATAATAGGGAAGTATTCCCAGCGCGTTGAATGTGTCTCCTTTACTGTTTTGAGACTGTTTCATGCTCATCCCCTCTCTCCCTCCAGTCATCATGTCCAGTGATAAGTCCAAGGCTGCTTCCCAGACCGACGGGAAGGCTACCCAGAGCAAGAAGTCTGAGATGGGCATGATGTCCTACAAGGCAAGTAGTCCCCAACTAACAGGCTCCAATCTAATGGAATATCATTGGATCACTGAAACAGTCAGACGTCATCAGTGTTTATGTTGTACTTATCTGCCTGTCTCTCGTTCTCTGTTTCCCCCTCAGATGTTTGTGTTCGACCAGGAGAACTTCCAGGGTCGCATGGTTGAGATCAGCAACGAGTGCATGAACGTGTGTGAGATGGGCATGGACCGCGTCCGCTCCCTCCGCGTTGAGTGTGGACCGTGAGTCAACCACTCCAGTTTCTTTAACTATATGTTAGTTGCTAGAATGTAATATTGTCCTGCTATCTCTGTAGCTTTGTGGGATAATGGTAGAAGTAGCAGTATATTTACATGCCTTTTAATCATAATTAGATATGTCAATGCGGCTGTACAATCATGTAACACTCTCTTTCTATTCTGTATAGCTTCGTGGGCTTCGAGCAGATGAACTTCTGTGGTGAGCACTACATCCTGGAGAAGGGAGAGTACCCCCGTTGGGACTCTTGGAGCAACTGCCAGAAGAACGACTACCTGCTGTCCTTCAGGCCCGTCCGCATGGTGGGTACACTCCTCTCGCCTTCCACCATTCCTCTCTCTTTGTCATCTGTCAATTCTGTTCTCTCATTTTTCTCTCTGACCTCTCTTTCTCTCTCGCTCTCTCTTTACTCTCTAACTCTCTCCATTTTTGTCTCTCTCCTGTAAATGTCTCTCCTTCGTAACACCTCCCTCATTCTCACACACATCTATCCTTTCCCCTCTCTCCCAGGACCCAGAGAAGCACAAGATCTGCCTGTTCGAGGTTGGAGAGTTCAAGGGTCGTAAGATGGAGATCATGGATGATGACGTTCCCTCTCTGTTCTCCTACGGCTTCACCGACAGGGTCGGCAGCATCATGGTCAGCTGCGGAACGTAAGTGTTGCTATGGAGATGGCAAAAGCAATTAGCAAAAGCAATCAGTTTAATCTCACAACTAAGAACCCATAGATCTAGAAAGAAAAGATTGTGGGAGAACGGCTGTTATATTAGTGACCTACGTAGTGGCATAATTTGGTCTTCTCCATTTTCCTCCCAGCTGGGTGGGCTACCAGTTCCCCGGATACCGTGGCTCCCAGTACCTGCTGGAGAAGGGCGACTTCAAACACTTCAACGAGTTCGGCGCCCGCCACCCCCAGTTCCAGTCCGTGAGGCGTATCCGCGACATGCAGTGGCACCAGCAGGGATGCTACACCATGGCCAGCAAGTGAGGCTCAGGGAAGGAGAGAAAGAGAAAGAGCGGAAGAGAGGGAGAGGGGCGGAGGAAGAGAGAGAGGGGGAGAGATGTCTGAGGCCTTGCCGAACCCCTGGCTGAAGCTAACCATCTGAAACAGCAAGGGAGAGGGGTGACGTTAAATATCTCCCACTCTGTGAAACCTCAATGGAAGGACCACCTGGCTAGAGAACACCTGAAAATCAGACAACCCCTCCATCACTCTCTATCTCTACTCTTCTCTCCTGTGGTCCAACCTTGACTCCCCCCCCCCCCTTCGTCCCGCATTCCTTTCCATTGCAGCACCAAAGAGGGAACGAGAAATATCTTGCTGATGATTCTCGGCTCAGGGTATGACTGCAACCAATGGGTAAAAGGAGCTTCTACTCTCCCCCACTCTCCTGTGTATCACCCCCCTCCCATCTCCACTTTTCATAAAAGGAAAACTTGATTTCAAACGTGTCTTGTATGTGACAATGACTCTCATGACAAGATAACTGTGAATAAAGGCTATCAGTCATAACATGAAATCATATCTAATTCTCATGTGATGAAAGGTATCAAATACAATACCTAGAGATTGCAACAACAAAAAACATGAAATTATACAGTGGGGGAAAAAGTATTTAGCAGCACCCAAATGTGATTCTCTGGTAAAACGCTTTTGTCCTTTGTATTGGACCAACAGGACGCACTTACCAAGTTTTTTTTTCTCCAGATCCTGTGTATTATATAACGGGCTATTTTCAGGTTCATGACAAGGCCATGAAAATCACTCAAATCATTTTTCAATCTTGAAGCAAAATCATCAAAATTGATCCCTAACCTTTTAAGGGCCTGACATACCTTAACAGGGGCCCCTCACCCCAGTTTGGGGCCGGGGCGTAGGGTTCATGGAGCAGGTTTTCTAACTTGGCCCGGGCTCGAAGGGGAAAAATAGGGGGGGGGTTTGGAAAGGGGGGGAAATTTGACCCGGAATCCTGCGGGAGCCCAATCAAAGAGGGAAAGGGTTTTTTTCCATTCCCTATTTGCCCCATTGACCCTTAAACCAACTGACCATTCCAATTCATCTTCCCCCCCGGGGTCAAATTTTGTCCCTTTTTCGCTCTTGGTCTTCCATGTGGGGAAAAGGGGATTTTTATTTTGGCTGTTTTTCTGATAAAAGGTAAAGGGCCTTATAAAAACCCCCCCCCAACCCTTTAACAGTTCTTCCTGGGGAACAAAAATCTTAATTTTTAAAAAAACTTTTTTCCCAAAATTTGCTTTTATTTTACAAGGGATTCTCTGGATTTTTCCTAGTTGTCTGCAATAAGGCTACCATGAAACACAAAAAAACATGAAATATATATAAATGAAATTTTTAGATGAAGTCAGAGCTGAGCACTGCAGATCATTTCCAACTCCTCAGTCCTGTCCACTCCTGTACGTTAGGTGGCGCTCTTAGATCATATAAAGCAGTGGTTGCCTCAACTGTCCACCCACGAAACAGTATAGTTTCCAGAATGTTCATGCCTCCTGCTGAAGAAAGGTTCAGAATTGCTGGCTAATCACGCTCTGTAAAATAAATAAACTTTTCAAGAATTATGGTTGTATCATGCGGATCTGTAAAGTTTTTTTCCCGCTCAATAAGTGGACTTTTTTTGCAAGCTAGCAGCTATCCAGCAAGCTAACAACAGACTATCTTCTAGCAGATCAAAACAAATTCAAGTGACGATGCGGTGAGTCGAGAATGAACTCTTTTACTATTAACCTTTAGCTAAGCGACAACATGACAAATGTACAACTGTTGTAGCTTTCTTTCATAACTAGTAAATGAAATAGATACATGATAATAGTCGTGTTTACAACTTCACTACTTTTCCGCCCAATTCCAAGCAACTTGGATGTTGTTAGAAGACCCCGCCCTCTCGTCAGCCTCAGCAAGACGAGGAGAAACTGCGTATCCCATAATCACCGCTTCCCCACTAGCCCACTTGAAGTCAGAACCATGCAAATCCTACCACAGGTTTTCTACGATGACAGCTGATTGTGGTTATGAAATGTAAACAAGAATTGTATGGCATGTGTCTAACACCATTTGTTTTGTCCTATTGGTGATGGCCTGGGAGAGGGCGAGCGCTCAAGGGCCAGGGTCACCATGAAGAGTTCTGCCCAAAACGGAACATTCTGAGGTGGAACTGTGCTCCAGAGGTCCGGAATCCCTCCCTACCTCGTGTCAAACAGGAGTGGCCGGAATTATTACTTACGAACACTGAGCCTCAGAGGCCACCGTAAATTAAAGAGGAGGAGTCTGAGATCACAGTCACGCCACTTTTACTACCTACCAAACAGGAGAGAGAAGACGAGGAGATTCCTGTCCCTAAACCAATGAAACCTGAGCCTCACAATCCATCCAGCCAATCATGCACAAACAGAGAGGAGGAGAAAGCAGAGCTGAAGAAAAAGTCTGGAGGACATCCAAAGAATTCCACTCTCCCTAAGCCTCAGGCCTCCTCTCAGCCCTCCTCTCAGCCCTCGCAGGCTGCAAGCTCCAGTCCTGTGAGTAGTAGGGAGGAGTGTGAGACAGAACCAGAGGTACAGGAGGACAAGAGCCCTGAGGATTGGCTAGCCCCCATGGAGGTCGAGGAGGCCCTGGGTGAGTCCCAGCGCCGACAGGGCATTGAGTCCGCGAGCCGCTCCTTTTCTGCCATGCTGGGCTCAGACTCAGATGACAAGGAGGGGGAAGAGGACCCCACCTTGGCCCCAACTGACCCCCAGACCCTCCAGGACGGCCCAGACGCCGACATCCTCGCTCTTCGAGGGGCATCCCCCCTGCGGCACAGGAAAATAACAACATCATCACGTCCAGGTAAAAGAGGAAGAGGTAGAGGCGGAGGTGGTGTCCTCCTCCTTGTCTCCAGAACCCAAATAGAAACCCAAAAATCTTGCCTGCCAGGAGTGCGGGAAGGCCTTCAACGGAAGCCACTCCTCAGTAAAAGGCACATGATAGCCCGCTTGGAGTTTGCCAAAAGGCACCTAAAGACTCTCAGACCATGAGAAACAAGATTCTCTGGTCTGATGAAACCAAGATTGAAATCTTTGGCCTGAATGCCAAGCGTCACGTCTGGAGGAAACCAGGCACCATCCCTACGGTGAAGCATGGTGGTGGCAGCATCATGCTGTGGGGATGTTTTTCAGCGTCATGGACTGGGAGACTGGTCAGGATCGAGGGAAAGATGAACGGAGCAAAGTACAGAGAGATCCTTGATGAAAACCTGCTCCAGAGCACTCAGGACCTCAGACTGAGGCGAAGGTTCACCTTCCAACAGGACAACGACCCTAAGCACACAGCCAAGACAACGCAGGAGTGGCTTCGGGTCTAGTCTCTGAATGTCCTTGAGTAGCCCAGCCAGAGCCCGGACTTGAACCCGATCGAACATCTCTGGAGAGACCTGAAAATGGGAGAAACTCCCCAAATACAGGTGTGCCAGACTTGTAGCGTCATACCCAAGAAGACTCAAGGCTGTAATCGTTGTCAAAGGTGCTTCAACAAAGTACTGAGTAAAGGGTCTGAATACTTATGTAAATGTGATATTTCAGTTGTTTAAAAAAAAAAAAAAGTTTAAACACTGTTTTTGCTTTGTCATTATGAGGTATTGTGTGTAGATTGAGGAGGGGAAAAAACAATTTAATCAATTTTAGAATAAGGCTGTAACGTAACAAAATGTGGAAAAAGTCAAGTGGTCGGAATACTTTCCGAATGCACTCTACATAGTAAAGTAGGTCTGGATCACATCAGATCTGGAGCCTGTTCTGGGTTGGCCCAGTAATTCTAGGGGCCTACAATTATGGCCCAGTTTCACCAGGCACTACCTCCAGCGATCAATGGGGGGAGGAAACATTCAGCAACTTAACGGCCGGCCGATGACTAGAGAGCTCGCTGGGAGAGTTCGGTGATTCCTTATGGCAAGGTATTTCTTGCAGTATAAGGGGGAGGGAGGATTGAGGGATGGGTAGTTTCATGAATCGAGAGAACATAATGACATTGATTATGAAAAACAGTGCATATGAACAGAGAAAATTAGTAAAAAAATCTATATGATAGATGAAGAGATTATTTCTAGCCTATATTTTATTATACAATACCACCATTAAGACTTTTTCGTGAATAAAAAAAAAAAAATTCTGCCATTTTATATTCTTAAAACTTTATAAGATGACGACTGGACATGGATGACTGAATGTATGTTCATGTTTGTCCTCACAAAGAGAGGGCTTTCTCCGCGAGCGCCTTTATGAGGGGAGACAGAGAGAAGTGCTTTATGAATGTGGTTATCTGTACTTAACTGTTAAAGTAAACAGTCATGGAAAACATACTGTGTAGTTGTGTTTCTTAAATCTTAAGGCCTGGATTCAATTCAAGTCGCGTTATAGCGCAGTGCACAATAAGTGACTTTTAAGGGTAGTTCACCCTTGAGCCGACATGCACAGAATTTGCCATCACCGACAGGCCTGATCACCGACAACGATGAGACAGCCTATAGGGAGGAGGTTAGAGACCTGGCAGTGTGGTGCCAGGACAACAACCTCTCCCTCAACATGATCAAGACAAAGGAGCTGATCGTGGACTACAGGAAAAGGTGGGCCGAGCACTTCACCAACAAACTATCATGGTCCAAACACACCAAGACAGTCGTGAAGAGGGAACGACAACGCCTATTCCCCCTCAGGAGACTGAAAAGATTTGGAATGGGTCCTCAGATTCTCAAAAAGTTATACAGCTGCACCATCGAGAGAATCCTGACTGGTTGCATCACCGCCTGATATGGCAACTGCTCGGCATCCGGCCGCAAGGCGCTACAGAGGGTAGTGCGTATGGCCCAGTACATCACTGGGGCCAAGCTTCCTGCCATCCAGGGCCGGGCGGAAGGCCCTAAAAATTGTCAAAGACTCCAGCCACCCTAGTCATAGACTGTTCTCTCTGCTACCGCACCGCAAGCAGTACCGGAGCGCCAAGTCTAGGTCCAAAAGGCTCCTTAACAGCTTCTACCCCCGCCATAAGACTGCTGAACAGTTAATACAATGGCCACCCGGACTATTTGCATTGACCCCCCCTTTTTTTACGCTGCTGCTACTCGCTGTTTGTTATCTATGCATAGTCACTTTACCCCTACCTACATGTACACTACCAGTCAAAAGTTTGGACACAACTACTCATTAAAAGGGTTTTTCTTTATTTTTTACTGTTTTTTACATTGTAGAATAATAGTGAAGACATCAAAACTATGAAATAACAC